ATATTATACCTCAAATTCAAATTGTCCAATGAAAAAACATCATTTGTACCACGTGACAATGTGATTTTTTACGATATTTCACTCAAATTCATGATTTCGCAATGCAGCGCGAGATACTATAATATCCCACGGTAGATCCACCGTGGGATATTATAGTTTATTATATACACAAGGTCTGGATATGAGGCATCACTGAGATATCACTCTTATCACTGAACTATCTTCACCCGAGTATAACAGCACAATCATTACATTAATTCGTATAAAAAAGGTCATATGCGTTTATCAGATTTCTTGAAGCGCCTGTACTGATGAGTGAAAACAAGTCTTTTTTTAAACATGACTCGTGATATGGATGTTCACCTCCCACGCGTTCCATTGCCGACGGAGGTGGGAAGGGGGGGGGGGGTGGTGACGAAGGCGAAGACATTTCGAAACATACATTACCACATTTTGAAAACGTGGCATATGTCTTCCTATTTGCCCCCAATTTAATACGCTGCTCTTTCCATTAACAATTTTTATGTACAATTGCCCAATTTTTAAGTACAATCTGCCCGACCTTTATACGTATAAACTGACCGACGATATATTATTGGGGGGGAGGGGGGGGGGGCGGGGCTGCAACCCTTTCCCCCTTTCGTTCGCCTACGCTCACACAACCTATACTCATTCCTTGTATTCTTGTCTCAGGTGCTTCCTTGTTTCTCGAAATGTTTTTCTCCGAAACATTCATAATATTTGAAGTATATATAACACCACATTATATATTCGTGTAAAAAAAGTCATTTACGTTTTTCAGATTCTTGAAGCGCGTCTACTGAAGAGTGAAAAGCTTCCTCTGGGATTTAAAGACTAACCAGGTAAGGTTTTCATGATGCCAGTTTCTTTATTGCAGGAATTAAAATGTATGCTTTTAAGCTTGCGTGCATGGTTTCTTGCGTTATCCGAGATTTTGTTGGCATCTCACTCGATTTCAGAACAATAGTTGACCGGTCTTGTAGATGGAAATTATCAAGTGGAAATTTATATACGTTTATTAGACCTAACCAGGAACAGCTGCAAAAAATGCAACTATAGGTCCCCCGTCTCTGGCAGGAATCGAACATACGGCCCTGCGATTACGGCGCAGCACTCTAAACAACTGAGCTAGAGGCCAGTTGTCGAGCTCTAACCACAAGTTCATGTATATACTGGGGTACTAACTAGTAACTGCCATGTTATAGGTTATGGGTAAATATCAAGATTTTGTTGGCATCTCACGCGTTTGAATAATAGTTGAAGGGTATTATACATGGAAATTATTGAGTGAAAATTTAAATACGTTTATTAGACTTAACCAGGAACAGCTGCGAAATTTGCAACTCTAAGTCACTGGCGGGAATCGAACCTGCGGCTGCGATTCCGGTGCAGCACTCTAACCAACTGAACTACAGAGGCCACTTGTCGAGCTCTAACCACAAGTTCATGTATATATATTATAGGGTACTGCCCTGTTAGGTTATAAATTGGGTAAATATCAAGATTCTGTTGGCATCTCACTCGAGTTAATAATAGTTGAAGGGTCTTGTAGATGGAAATTATCAAGTGGAAATTTATATACTTTTATTAGACCTGACCAGGAACAGCTGCGAAAAATGCAACTTTATATAGGTCCCGAGTAGGAATCGAACCTGCGGCCCTGCGATTACGGTGTAGCGCTCTAAACAACTGAGCTATAGAGGCCAGTTGTCGAGCTTTCAATGCCTTTGCTCGTAGAACATCGTAAAGCTGATAAAGATTGTGACCAGGGGACCAGGTTTAAAATTAATATCAGAAATGTTTTCGCTCACTACCCTGCATGATTTTTAAGTAAACGAATGAAATTTACAATTTAATACCATAAACCTCTGACTATAAGCCCTGGGCTTATATTCTCTAGTTTCGTAAGCGATTTTTGATGGGCTTATACAAGGGGGGCTTTGGTGAATTGCCCCTGATCGAAAATTACACCCCACAAATTCAAGTCGACAGGAGCAGTGAAAGTCACGATGAAAGTCAAAATGACGGAAATGCTAAACCGATATCACCTCTGTTTAGTCCAAGTTCGCAACAACAGCATCTACGAAATCAGCAAAATGTAAATTTTTTCGAAAACGTCCCTGTGTCATACCTCCTCGAGTACTAAACAACGATCTAAATCTTCGGCTGAATCAGCGCAGTCAACGGCACCCACTTCCACGTCATCTACACAATTCCCGAGGCTCCAATATCCCACAAAACCAGCAAAATGGAATTTTTTTCTCGAAAGCGCTCTTATCCTTTACCCCCGACTACTAGATCTTCGGCCAAATCAGCGCAGTCAACGGGATTTGCATCCACGACATCCCAACAACGCCCGAGGCACCAATACCCCCTGGTATCGGTTTTCTGTACAACACGAGAGCCCAGATTGGACGAAATATTTAGAAATGGTACGCCTTGATACAAGTCCTCAATAATCAATCCTCATGTACCAAACCCAGATAATACCTGTACGTCAATACCACCGAACAACAATGCCATCCCAGTCAGAATCACCCAAAGGACAACAGACAATGACGCAAGACGAACTTCTAATCTACCCACGATCTGACCTTTTACCGGTTAATCCTACCCACCAATTATGCCATTTTGTTCCATCAATTATACTGGCAAATGTAATGTCCCTATCGCCCCAAATAGACGAAATTCGTCTCTACGTACAAGACCACGACCCCGATATTATGTACCTTACTGAAACATGGCTGAAAGATACTGTTGAAAGCAGTGTAATCCATATTATGAACTATACCCTTGTCAGGAAAGACAGGATTTATGCACAACATGGGGCCGAGTATGCCTGTATATTAAAGAATCTATACCGTTTACAGTTCTTCGGGAATACGAAAGAGATATATCAATCGAGGTTCTATGGTGCAAGTTATGTCCCAGACGACTACCCCGCGGTTTTTCTTATGTAGTAGTGGGGGTAGTATACCATCCACCGACAGCTGACGACGAACAAATGATTAATTATCTAATTAATACTTTGTCTGAAATCGAAAGCTCTATGCCTAATGCTGCCATCATCCTTGCTGGAGATTTTAATCGCCTCAATACTGCCCAGATAACTATTCAATTTCATTTAAAGCAGCTAGTAAAGTTCCCAACACGAGGAGAAAGAACATTAGATCTAATACTGACCAACCTCAACAAATTTTACCAGGCTCCTACTAAAGATCCACCTTTCGGATTATCCGATCATAACACCGTCTCTATTACCACTGGAAACCGTAAGAAGTCGTACAATGCAAAAAGAGCAGTTACAGTTAGAGACATGAGACCGAGCTCTAGACAGGCCCTCGGAAGATTTCTAAGTAATATAGATTGGTTAGTTCTTGAGAATGTCGAAGATATAAACGAAAAATATGCTTTCTTTAACAACAACATTATAATGGGTATGGATATTATTATGCCAGCAAAAACTATATTAAGCTCCATATAAATTATGTTCCATGGATGACTGGTCATCTGAAGCACCTAATAAAGTGTCGCCAGAAAGCTTTAAAAGATAACTGTCCTACACAGTTTAAATTTTATCGTAACCAAGTTAATAGAGAGAGGAAACGTATTAAAGCTAAATACTATGAATCAAAAGTAAAAGACCTTAAAAATATAGAGCCAAAGAAATGGTGGTCCGAGTGTAAAAAGTTATGTGGAATGTCAAAGCCAAACATTAATATTGCCTCCAAACTTTTAGACGAATCACAGACAATCGAGGATAAAGTAAACCTGGCCAATGAAATCAATTTAGCTTTCCTAGAACCCCAGAAAAGTTATCTTAAGCTTTCCCCTTCTTGCAAGATTAACACTCCCGGTCATTAAATTCCATCCGTGACCACAGAAATGATAGCCAAACAACTGAGCTCGATTAGTGCACATAAAGCAGCCGGTCCAGACAACATACCAAGAGAGACATCCCTTCTTAGGGATGTCTCAAGAGAGACATCCCTAAGAAGTCCTTGATGTACTGTTTAATAAACGAGCAGGAGTGCTTTATTAGGTTTAAAGACCTAATAAAACACGACCTGCGAGTTTATTAAACGGCTTCAAACACGACTACAAATTCAATAGATAATACTGCCTTATTAGTATTCTTTATATAAAGAATACTAATTAGGAGTGTTTTATCAGGTTTAAAGCCACTGCACGTGACATATTATGGTTGACATGATTTGCCAGTGTGTTTGAACAGCAGTATCTCCTCTCCCATCAGGAAATAATGTCGGAAAAGCCATTGTTGCTAGATGCGATACATGATACTCGGAAAGGCGCGAAAAAAAGGGGCGAAGATTACATATTTCGTCCATTTTCGACTAATCATTACGCGTTATTATTATTATTAAAACTTTATTTTCACACGAAATGCTATATCTTCCATGGAGCGTGTACACTAAAATATCTACATAGTACAATTACAATTAAAATGTCAATTACAACTATAATATTCACAATATTAAAGAAAAATAGAAGACAATCAGAATCTTGGGACAAAAAGTTTTGAATCAGAGTGACGCAAATTGTAGTTGTGTATTACATCAGTTGGTATGAATTTGCTTGAAAGATAGTCGGGCCATTTTGTTGATTGTTTTATAAATTAAAATTGCTGAGACCGTTTTTTCTCAAGGTTATCCCAGTTTAGCGAGTTCAAAATCTTAGCTGAACGAACATTGTAGTCAGACCCTGTAACAATCCGTGCAGCTCTATTTTGTAATTTTTGAATCTTGCATCCCATTCCCAAGACCTTCCCTAAATTGCCCTGCAGACGCTACTGCAATAATCAAAATGTGGTTGAATCAACGACTTATGTGATTTTAAACGTCTGAGAGCTCCAATTACCTTGGTTAGTTTTTCAGTGATCATGTTTATATGTTCATCCCAAGATAAGAGCTCATCCAATTCAATGCGTATAAGCTTTTGTATGTTTTAACCCGCTTAATATTATGGTCATTAATTAGCCGAAATTTCCGGTTGATCAGGTATGGTTGCTAGCCTGTGGCGTGTGGATATAAACATACGTTTAATTTTAAGAGCTTTTAAACTTTTATTAGCATCGAGCCAACTTTTTAGAGTATTTAAGTCGCTCTTCATAAAACTCGGTTGTAGTCATTATCTGCATATGTCAAATTTGTGTCATCAGCAACAAGGCGGCACTATATATTAGAAATAGGAGTGGCCCTAAAATAGATCCTTGTGGGACCCCACACTCGATGCTGCATTTCTGCTATTATATTTCAAGATACTCGCCTCAATTTAACAATGCATTGTCTTTATTAAATCACTCCTTTTCAAAAATAACAGTGAATCTTTAAAGTCTAACTAGAATAAAACAAAATAACGTATCGTCACCATGTCCTCTCAAACCGCTGGCTCAGGATCTCCTTGGCGTCTTTTTTGTTCCATCTTTTTTTTAATCTAAAACTGTATAGTATTAAGAGGCAATTTTTTTCAATGTCGCGTATTTGCGATGCAAAGTGTTCAAAACCTAAAATCTTTTTGGCGTTCCTCTCAAAATTACTTTGTTTTAGCTTTATTTTGTAGTTTACACAGTTAGCAATCTTTTTAAATGTATCTGGCGGTTGAGAAACATAAAATAATAGTCAAATATTGTCAATTTAAATACAATTATCATTGATAGGCTACTGTAAAATTGACGCCATATTTATACAGCGATATAAGCAAAACTTACTGAACTTCAGACATCATTTTCTCTTTGGCGTACCATCTAAAATCTCTTCATTTTAGCATAAATCTACGAATAAAGCATCAAACAAACTTTTTAAGTTTGTTTGCCGCTTGAGAAACGTATAAAAAATGTAAAAAATTGAAACCAAGTGGAAAACTGGGCCATATTCATCAGTTTTGAGCGCGTATTACGTGACATATAAAAGATTCTCCTCTTAATAACAGTATCTTGAGAACGTTCTGAGAGATGGTTACGACTTTAAAGTAGAATTTTCCCGATTGCAGCCCCCCTCTTGTACGCATGCGAATTATTTCATGACTTGTTGCCGCAGTAGCTATCCTATGATCTTGAATAATCACTTCCTGATTCTCCGCTAGAAATGTTGGGATTCAAGAACATTTCGTCACTGCACTGATCGAAGTCAAAATTTGACAACGATGTTGTTTAATAAAGAAAAAGCATGCAGTAACCAGAAAATAAATTAAATGACTTGCTGCCCGCCATTGTATAATTATGGAGTTTCCTTGAGGCAAATTAGAAATGTTAAACTTTCAGTGTCGGTGCAATACGAACTGTTTTATCAGGTGCAATTCCAATAATTATTGTAGATAACTAATTAGATTCTTGTATTTTAATGTAAATATAGCCCTACAAAGCTATACATCCTGAATGCCCATAATTTTTTAACCATGGCTTTACTATTTTTTGAAACTTAGCGTAATTCAGCTAAGGCTATCAATTAAAATGTATGGCTATTATATGACAATATAGTCATAGAAACATTGTTGGAGACAAAATTTGCAATATTCATGTCAGAAAGCGGTCTGCCACGAAATCTGTATCAGCGAAGTCGCGACCGCAGGATATAGATTCCCGCTCTACTATATAGGGCCAAAGCACACAGACACAGTTGCATTTTTCGAAAATTAAATTATTATTATAGCAAGTTGTTCTCGATATATCGATAATAGATGTTCAAATCTTGGTTCAGCCATTCTGTAGACTTGTATATAATATACTACCTTGACCGGCGGTTCTTTTATATATTCAAAGCCATGATTTTGAGTCTATCAGAAAAAGATTAGAAATGGAAACGCTTCTACGCTATACTATATAATCTCCTATCAGTGGGCCTTTTTGAACGTTTTTAATCTTTTTTTCATGCAGTCGAGACACAAACTACCGAAGCCTGTTGGCTCTGTTGTATAATACTGCCTATAAATATAATAGAGACTGAACTCGCATGCGTGTTTGAAGCTCCTTTGTACTACATTTCTATTAATTATTAACGATAAACGAATCATTCTTGCTAACTGTAGCCAGTTTTCCTTCACGCCATGCTTACATTTGTCTAATTAAACGTCCAAAAGAGATGGGATCACCTCATTAGATATTATAGCACATAGGACGTTTATTTATTAATTATTCATGCATGCAAATAATATTATCTGGGTCGCCTCGTTGTCGTGCGCGCGCCTGTACATATAGTTTATTGATCTCAAAGTGAATAACATCTGATAGCAATAGACACAAACTTATAAAATCCCTCTAGATAATCATAAATTGATTAAAATAATTCATTCTCTCTCTATTTTTATATCTTTTATTATTGACAACAAAAGACCGTGATTGCCCACATTTCCAGAACGTTGTTGAAGGAATAAGCGAAACATGCTACGAAATTTCTCGTATTAAGGTAAGAATATACCCGTAAGATCTTTTACGTTAGCCAAGAGTACTGTGACGTTTCGACTATCGTTTCTCTAAATGGTATATTTCAATAAATCGCTAATCCTTTTTTCCCCTTAATTTCACATAAATAGCTTAGTAGATAATCTTCGACTTCGTGTAACTGCTGAGACAACTGATGCGTTCACGCGAGACCATGAGACGAATTCGTTTACATCAGTAACATGGCCTTACGAATTCGTACGGATAGCTGTGCATGTTCAAATAATCCATCTGGACCCGTGCGAACGGAACCTTTAATACATCTGCATGAACTTCAATGAATTTGTTTGAATTTCAGAACATGTTTTCGTTTTTTTATTTCATTCGAGTTTAAATTATTCATTATGTTTCAACTACGCAAAATTTCGCTTTCATTGTTTTCGCTTTCACGCATGAATGGGAGAAATTGTATATGTTTAATGCGGGGACAAATTTTTTACGTGTATCTTCCAATGTTATTGTGTGGGAACGTAAAGTCCAATTACGAATATCTTTTTTGTGGTTGCATGAACAACAAAGATTCTTCTGCGTCGAAATTTTAAAACAATCCCGAGTTTTGACAAAGGTATTGATTACAATTTTAACATAAACATAACTCGGTGTACGGATGTTTGCAAAATGTCGTTCATAACATATTTTTGAAAACAAATATGGATTTATAATTGAATGTCGCCGTTTTGAGGCAGCTGCGTTCTACCGCTGTGACAATGAAAATTGTTCGCCCAAAGCGGCAAAGGAAAATAATTTATAAAACGGGCGCTGTATGTTAATTATAAAGTGTTAGATCTAGCACTTAAATGTATGGATATATCTTGCCGGCATTGATGAAATTTCTCATTCAATAACGGCTCTTTGTGTAAAAGTGATATGAAAAAGGTTAGTGCCGATTGAGATTGTGTAATAGCTGTGGCTTTCGTTTACATTTCTTGTCAGTCATATTTCTTATATCGCTATATTTATAGTACCATCATATCGATTAGTATATATTTATAGTTTCCTATCAGTTTTATGTGAATATCTCGCCAGGCCTACACTACATGATTGATATAAAGCAGTTAGTGAAATTTATAAGCTCAGTGCACAGAGGACAATAAAAGAGAAAGATATTTTTTCTTCTATAGCTGTATCTTTATATGTATACATGTTTGCGTCGGCAAGGATTTTTCAGTGATTTTTATAACTGCAACAGTATATTCTCTTAAAATGTAAAATTCGAACATATACGTTTCATGATTAACAGCATGCAGCGTTTTGCGTTTTAATCTCCTATAGAGTAGACCTTGTATTTTACAAGGCAACTTAATGTGCGTAATCCATGGATGACATAAGTCTTTGACCATGAAGATATGTGTAAAATTTTCTAAGATATTTGTGTAATTTTCTAAAATCGTGTATCTGTAGGCATATAAATATAAAAGAAAGCTATACGGATTGTAATAGTATAATAATAGATAGACGTTGACAGTTTTTATATATAGTATCACATATAGTTAATAGTTTGACCTAAATGCGCTGCTATTCTTTTGGCCTCTTAATATATATCATCCAAGTTGCAGAATATAGGTTTTATATTTCTGTGTACGAAGTCTATGTACTTTGTTCTTATGATTTCTTGTATACATGCATATAGCCTCGATCTGTTTTGTATAATGTGCACATTTCTAATTTTTGAAATTAAATTCCTACATATTTATCCAAAATCTTTCATTAAAGTGCACTAGCATGTTTTTTAACGATTTTTCATTTATTTTCCTCCTCCTGGTCTATATGAAGACTTGCCATACACGGAGAGTTATAGAGAGTAGTGTTATACTATTATATACTAATATTAATGCTGCATGTCAGTCAGGAAAAGAAAAATCGCCGACAATATTGCTATTGTAATTTTTGAACAAGGTCGGAGTGCTTGATGCGTTGATTATATAGGTCACGCAGCCAAATTTTTTGCGTCGATCTTTATGTGCTCCGTGTCAATCTTATAACAGTGAAATGAAATTACGTGTACTCAGCGCTAATATACCGTTACTATGCGTGCAGGGAAATGTTCCATCGATCTGAAAATTGTCAAACTGAGATTTTTCAAGCCCAGGTTTTCGGATTTTTCATGACAGTAATAAAAAGAAATGCACACGTGCTTATTATCTTCCGTACTTCCCCAAAAAGTACCTGAATGTTTGAAAATGCTTTTCACTAATTCTAAGACTAAGGCTTTAAAAGTATACTTAATGGCAAATATTTTCTTATAATGAATGGCCGATTTCTTTTCCTTTTCGATTAATATTGGCGCGCTCCTAACAGTTGTCAGAATTTCTAAACACGGTTGCTAATTTGATTTGATTTAAAAAGTGCAAAATTTGGATCCTTATTGCATTGTCCCTGACGTCAAACTCGTCTCTTTGTATATACTTTTAATTTCTTTTATTGTCTTATATGCATTAGTTCAGTAATTTTCATGAAATTTCAATAACTTTGCCATTCGACGTCATGCGGCGACACAAGATTTTATTTATTTTATTTATAAAAAAGTACTTTAATCATCATTAATATATTGAGGTGTTTCCGGCTTCCGCTCTGCTACCGAAGAAAGTATTAGGGTCCTATATATTCCTAGAAGATGAAGAATTAGTTTGAGAAAGTGCTTGCGAAGTATCTTTTTTCTATAATCTAAGGTACATAACAATCATTTCATCTATTATTTTTATACAGTGCAAATTAAAGAACGACGAAAAATTCGTTGTCTCAAGAGGGATTCGGGTATCTAGACACGGGGATTGGTAGCGAGTCTTATTCAATCTAAGTGCGCGAAACATTTTCGAGACGACTAACGCTTGTCGTGGAGGACGCGTAGTGTTTCCATTCTATTTCAGAACCATCCTCAGAGAGATGAAAAACTAGTTTCACATTATTCACGAATTTTTCGTTGTTCGCTGTCGGTGAAAGTATATTTGATTCGAAATATAAAACAAGAAAGGTAATAAATTGATAAGAATTACTGCTGGGGCCTCCTATGCCTATACTTTTTCCTCAGTTTTGTGAGTTTGATATAGGCGATATACCTAGATATATGAAAAATTGTCCTGCTGGGACAAAGTGTATTTCGGCAGCTTTTGGCGCTTGTGAACGTATAGTTTGTTGGTATATGGGCATCTAAGCATCACAGACAGGGGAGTAATATCGGTTTTGGTGAATTTTGTTCTACAGTAATTAATATATGTAATGTAGTCATTGATACTCCAGCGGAAATCTAAAATGAATAAAGAAACCCATGCGGCAAATAATTTTTATACATGCACACATGCATATTTTATTAATTTGATAGCTAACAA